ATATACCATGAAAATCCATGGAAAAAAGTGTCCATGGAAAAAACCTGGAGTATTTGGACTCCTTGTCCAGGGAATAATTTGATAAAATAAGGGTGGAAAATAACTAGAAAATGTCCATGGCAATAAAGCAAAATATTCCATGGACGCTTTCCATGGACACTTGTCCATGGAATTCATGGACACTTTCCATGGTATTCATGGACACTTGTCCATGAATTTGACTAGATATTCCATGGCATTTCCCTGGCAGTTTTTCCATGGACAGTCCATGGAACTAGTCTGGAAATCAGTACATGACAAATTCTGTTTGACATTCTGCTAGGTGACGGGCAAATATCCTTACTTGACAAAAGTTCCAATGTACATAAATACCGGTATTGTCTAAAAATCATACAAATCTTCTGCATCAATAAAAAAAAACTAAAAAGATGTAAGTGATGTATTCATGTATTCTTAAATTTTAAAGAAATTCAATTATCTGTACAATAATTTTCCCCAAAACATCAATATGCCAAATCTGAGTTTTATCGAAATAAAAAGTGAGCTTATATCCCAGCCTTCCACCTCCATTACTTGACAATCCTACACATAATAAATGAATAGGTTTAAATGCATTAATTTGACTTTAAGATAAGCAGAACTCCAAAAAATCATTACATTAAATTTTACAAACTGTTCTTTACATGTACTACATAACTTCTTGTGGTCATTTACATTTGCACCAAGGTTGTGCACTGACCTAAAAAGTCACTTTCAGGAAGGCTTCAGTATGTCCCTAATTTTATCACGAACTTGCTATGCTGTAACAGCATATTTCTCAGCATAAAATACACAAAAAATGATTTGATTTCAACATGAGCATAACTCAAAAAAAATCATTACATCCAAATTTCCTACAAGAATGCTTTTATACACTTCTGTCTTAAACAACAACAACAAAATGTGTCCTTAATACCTACCAAATTCTGTACAATGGTTTAAGAGCTTACAAACTGTTCTTTACATGTGTATAATACAACTTGTTGAGATCACCACAGGCGAGTACACAGGGAAGTACACAACTTGTCAAAGAAGTCTCTATTTCGGGAAGGCTTCTGTATGTCCATAATTTTGTCACGAACTTGCACTGCTGCAACGGAATACTTCTCAGCCATGATTTCTGCAGAAAGAAAATAAATAGCATTCATGGTAAAAGAAAGAATCCAAGTGTTTATTTTTTTAACTTCTCATAAAAAAAACAAACCAAGAGATGTTTGTAAACACTTGTGCCCCCCTCCCCCAAATAATTGGAAGTCCAAGGGTTATATAACTCTGTCAAAAATGGTCCGAACTTATCAAAAAAAGAACTTGACCTAGATATTCTTAAGATAAATCTCTATATGAAATTTCATTTCGATATGTGTTACCTCTGCAAAGAAAATAAACAACAAGAGGCCCATGGGCCACATCGCTCACCTGAGAAGCTTTGACCATTCTGTTCTTTACCAGATTTCCCCCTTGTTATACATAATACATCCCCACCCTAATTTAGACATTTTGAAATCTACACTACCCCATGATCCTTCCATGGGCACATATGTTTCAGCTTTTTTGGCCCAGTGGTTCCTGAGAAGAAGATTTTCAAAGATTTTTCCTATATATTTCGATGTAAAACTTTGATTCCCTATAATGGCCCCGCCCTTCCCCCGGGGGTCATGATTCCTATAATTTAGAATCTACACTACCCCAGAATGCTTCCACATAAGCTTCACTTTTTCTGGCCCAGTGGTTCTTGAGAAGAAGATTTTCAAAGATTTTTCCTATATATTTCTATATAAAACTTTAATTCCCCATTGTGGCCCCACCCTTCCCCCGGGGGTCATTATTTGAACAATTTAGAATTTACATTATACCAGGATGCTTCCACATAAGTTTCAGCTTTTCTGGCCCAGTGGTTCTTGAGAAGAAGATTTTCAAAGATATTTCCTATATATTTCTATGTAAAACTTTGATACCCCATTGTGGCCCCGCCCTTCCCCCAGGGGTCATGATTTGTATAATTTAGAATCTACACTACACCAGAATACTTCCACAAAAGTTTCAGCTTTTTTTGGCCCAGTGGTTCTTGAGGAGAAGATTTTCACTGATTTTTCCTATATATTTCTATATAAAACTTTGATTCCCTATCGTGGCCCCACCTTTCCCCCGGGGGTCATTATTTGAACAATTTAGAATCTACATTATACCAGGATGCTTCCACATAAGTTTCAGCTTTTCTGGCCCAGTGGTTCTTGAGAAGTAGATTTTCAAAGATATTTCCTATATATTTCTATGTAAAACTTTGATTCCCCATTGTAGCCCCACCCTTCTCCCGGGGGTCATGATTTGAACAATTTAAAATCTACACTACACCAGGATGCTTCCACATAAGTTTCAGCTTTTCTGGCCCAGTGGTTCTTGAGAAGAAGATTTTCAAAGATTTTTCCTATATATTTCTATATAAAACTTTGATTCCCCATTGTGGCCCCAACCTTCCCCCGGGGGTCATTATTTGAACAATTTAGAATCTACACTATACCAGGATGCTTCCACATAAGATTCAGCTTTTTTGGCCCAGTGGTTCTTGAGAAGAAGATTTTCAAAGATTTTTCCTATATATTTCTATATAAAACTTTGATTCCCTATAATGGCCCCGCCCTTCCCCCGGGGGTCATGATTCCTATAATTTAGAATCCACACTACCCCAGGATGCTGCCAAATAAGTTTCAGCTTTTCTGGCCCAGTGGTTCTTGAGAAGAAGATTTTCAAAGATTTTTCCTATATATTTCTATATAAAAATTTGATTCCCCATTTTGGCCCCGCCCTTCCCCCGGGGGTCATGATTTGAACAATTTAGAATCTACACTACCCCAGGATGCTACCACATAAGTTTCAGCTTTACTGGCCCAGTGGTTCTTGAGAAGAAGATTTTTTAAAGACCCAACCCTATTTTTGTCTTTTCTTGATTATCTCCCCTTGCGAGGGGATATGTCCCTTCATTTTAACAATTTAAATTCCCCTTCACCCAAGGATACTTTGTACCAAGTTTGGTTGAAATTGGCAAAGCGGTTCTTGAGAAGAAGTCGAAAATGTGAAAAGTTTACAGAGAGACAGACAGACGGACAGACAGACGGACGGACGACGGACAAAATGTGATCAGAAAAGCTCACTTGAGCCTTCGGCTCAGGTGAGCTAAAAACAGCAAATTATTCAAAATTTTCCAAGTCCAAGGGGCATAACTCTGTCCAGAATGGTCTGATCGTAACCCCCCTAAAAACAACATAAATAATTTTATGATTAATATGTATACCAAATTTCATTTCGATATGTGCAACCTCTGCGAAGAAAATGAACGGAAACTGATGGCAGACCGACAGAAAGCAGCAAAGCAATATGCCCTCCCTTCTTAAAAATGGGGGGGGGGGCATAAAAAACAATAGAGTACTGTTCTTTTTAGTAATTCAATTTAATTATTTCAAAGTGAAATGAAAACATAGGTATGAAATTCAACTTACCTTTGTGTAGCCTTTATATGTTTTCTCTTTAAGAACTTGTGGCTTCTAAAAAAAATATAAGTGTATTTAAAAATCTTGTTGAACAAGTATTTAGATTGTCTGAAGGATAACGAGAGAGATTTCATCTACCTGCAATTAACCAGAAACGATTACTCTATATGAAAGTATGTTTTCATCATCATGACTTTAATATTAGAATTATTTGCCTACATACCCTTTCCTTTCGAGCAACAACAGTCTTGTTTGCTTTCCTCTTTCGCTGTGGTGTTACCTGTCTGCAAGAAGAAAATGCCTCATCAAAGTATGTGCTAAGATTTCAAGCATCTGTAACGAGTAATTGCTGAGAAAACTGTGATGAAAATTATTGTTTTGTTGCTACAGACAGATCAACAAGAATTTGACATCGGATTTGAACAAAAAAGAATTCCACCATATGGCCAGAAAAGATCGTTTTTAAAATTTCAAGCATCTTCATTCAATTAGTATTGCTGGGAAAACAGTGACGAAAATTTGTTACAAACTGACACACACAAGAATTTCTCCACTTTCTAGCATTGGTTAATCAACGATCTTTCACTCCCTCATTCTAGACACATTCTGTAGCCAATATCTATACTTTAGCCATCTCCCAACCATTCAAAGTTGTCTCTGTATGCAAGAAATTCGCTTCAAGTGAATTTTCAGTTATGTAACAAATAATTTCAATCAAGCGAGTTTATCACTTGTATAGATGACTATAAAGGATATATAAGGTAATCTAGAGGGATAAAATATATAGATTAGTTAAAAAATGTGCCTAGAATTCATAGGGAGTGAAGGGTGGTTAATTGACCGATGCTGGAAAGTGGAGAAATTCTCCCGCAAAGTGTGTGAAAAATAATACACGATAAATTGCACCTTTTACTGCATTTCGGAATCTGTAGCGTTATGGTCAAAGACAAATATATAAAACCATAACGCTACAGATCTGCAGCTATATTATGACACAGTAGAGGTACGTTTAACAGTTAAAGTTCAATGACGTGTAATTAATAGCAATTTATTGTACATTTTGCAAAGAACACTTTGATTACTTGATCACTTACTATTCAAATTTTGGACGCCATTTTGTTTTCATTTTTTGAAATTTTATTGTAAAGTAAAAATAAAAGTGTTATTACACAGGCACCAGGGATGTTACTTATTTTTTATGAAATAAAAAAATATATACATACCTAATAATAATTAGGTATGGGTATATTTTTCTACTAAAAGAAAAATAAGTAATGTCAGGTGCCTGTGTGTTGTTATGATAGTCACGGACACCACTAAAATTTTTGATTGAAAATTGTCACAGAGAGCAGAATTTCGATGACAATCGACAGAAAATTTAAAAATTATAGATAGTTGCTTTTTTCCGAAATGTATTTTTTGAACAAAAATGGTTTATCTGAGAACCATATGATAGGCATATCAAATCAGCTGACTCAATTTTTACCAATGTTAATTGTAACTTTATTTAATTTAGTCACTTTTGAGTTTAAAAACATTTCTGTACAGTAGCTCTCAAAACGGATGTTGTGACGTCATACACCGAAAGAGGAGGCCGATTTTCACATTGATCAACACAGAAGTATATTAAAGTTTAGTTTATCTATCTTTTAATATTGAGAAATAATATATAACGTCTCCACTTTCACTTAGTCTGATGTTGCACTTCGTAGTCTAGAACTTGTAAGGCTATTTCTAATCACTATTGACATACATGTATACGTACCATCCGAGATCCGAGCTTTGCCAAATGTTGCAATGATGAATTCCCCTTCTATAGGATGATCTTTAATCGGTTTTCTAGTAAGTTCTTTAACGTTCTCAAAGTTAATGCTGACGAATTTGTCTTCCCAACGGACGACAGCGTCCTTCTGTTGCTCGAAATGGCGCGGTTTGGAAACTTTGGCCAATCGGATCGGTTGATACAAATTCTGACCAATGAGACCTTGTCTATTATGATCACTAGAAAGAATCCAGTCAATGCGTAACTGATTCGTGTAATTTTTTTTAATTGTTACATTATGAATTTTTCTACAGTGAAACGTATATACAATTGAAATAAAACTGTTTGAATATTTATACAGACAAAATAAAGCTTTGTGTACGAACTGACTTATCATATTTGTTACTTGTTCACAAAACAGAAAACTTTGACTTACTTTGTTTCCGAATCGGTTTATGAATGAGTTGTCTCAAGGAAATCTGATACACATGAACGTTTGAAATTGCACACAGATGTACCAAAACGTAAACGTTTGAAAAACACTGAATAATGAACTAGCGGGAAGAAGTTTGCATCGACATAATCATCAACAATTAAGGTAAGTTTTAGCAATGAATATCACAAATCCGCATCAATATACTTAAAAAGGAATATCTTTTGGAAAGAAAGTTTTTTTTTCTGCAAAACTACAGTTTGTTAGATCGATCCCCAAGAAGTAAACTGAACTTCTGAGGGTCGAGGGATCAATCTCCTAAACAATAAACATTACAATGGGCATACAGAAAAAAAAGAATGTCAACCAAAAGTTATTCCTTCATTAGTGTCTTGATGCTGATTTATGATATTTCTAACCAAAACAAAAATATCTTTTTTTATACTGTAAATTTATATTCCACTTGCACTTGAGATATATACTGTATCACAATCGGACAACTATTTGGGCAAGTGGTCCCAACCTGCAGATGTATTCTACTTTGCTTAGCCAATAATTTAAGCTGATGGAGAGTTTAACTCTGATTTTGTACATAAAACATTGGATATGTTTTTTGTTTTCTGAGCATCATAGGCCCAAGAAGTCAAGCTTAACCCTGTTACACTGAAAGGGAAACTAGATTATGTTTTTAATTGACTTAATTTGGTATTAAATAAATATTTTTCTGTAATTTTAACATTTTCTTACTTACAGAAATGGACTTGTCAATGTTGTGTGAGAAGGACGGGGTTGTGGATGTCCCCACAGAATCTTTGTAAAAAAAAATTGCTCTGGAGAAAACAAAACTTGATTCTTCGCATTGAAAGTTTCCATCCAGAAATTGACCTTGGTAATTTTTTTGTCAGTCTAGCAAAGTATGAAAAAGGAAAACAACCATAACGCAGGTGACATTTGGTGCGTCTAGACTCTGACGTCACATGACGTCGTATGTAAGTTGCAATACCAAGAAAAAGCCTGAACAGTGCTGAAAGTTAATGAATAACATTTCGTTTTCTATTTATCTTCAATATATATCCATTAAATCAAGGCGAAAAAACTTTTTTTTTGAACATTTGCTGTTATTCTCGCGAGAACATAGCTAAAACAAGTGATGCATTGTGGGTCCAAATTACTGCATCAAAATTTCTATCGAATGTCAATGTGCAGTAGTTGAATTTTCTCTTTGCACAGACATTGCTTTAAGAGCTTGCAATGACGTCGCTTCGCGACACTCGCTGCCCTCACTATAAACCTTTAGGATCACAAGACAATGCAAGATTTTGTGCAGCTGTAAATCTGGTACATGTATCTATGTAGTTTAATCTCTTGTTGTATCATATTTGTTTTAGTATTCTATAATTTCTGCAGAAGACATTGTTAAGACCATAAATACGTAAATTACTACACATTTTTATTTGTGATGTAGATACTTATGTGTAACATGTATGCTATTCTTTTATTCATTTCAGGTGATGTTGCTGTAAGGCAAAAATAGCATGAATTAGATTCTTCTGTTCCTGTTCCTAAAAGCAAAAACATTCTTGAGAAAAAGGA